TTGGGGTCCGCGTGACTATCGTAATCAATGGTTGGAGACACTTGGTGATATGGCTCAGAATCGATCACAATGGCGTCGGTGTATACACTCTGTCTTCCCTTAAACTAAGAGATTAAAATCACTTCATATCTTTCTTTCTACGAACTAATTCTTTCTTCATGTACTATATCCTTATTGCAATCTTTCTTTCATATATTACCACCACTGACTTAACTACTTCTATGAATCCGGTGTTCATCTTGTTGTGCTAATGAGTTATGGCAACTTGGACCGATGCATACATGTGCCTGGGTCCTACGTTGTAGCTAACTGAGTGATAAGTTCATTTATACATCCTTTTCTTTAATTTACATTAGAATTAAATATTTGCTTATTTTCTGTTTTCCTCTCTCTCTCTATTTATCAACATATATAATGTTTCCCTAAGTTGTCACAACTCTAATCTTTTGGAGTTTTTTTTTCATGTAAACAATAAATTTCAACTGTGTGCCTTTTTTTTCAAGGATAAATTTCCATATTTTCAACTGATATATTATATATTTTATGTTCAAATTTTGTTCAGTTTTGGTATTCTCTATGTGTTTCCATTATTGACAAAGTTCTACTTGTAAAGATGGTTTTTCTATTTTTTTTTTAAATAAAGGCTGTATATACAATTAATAACGTGTCAACTATGTTTGATGAATACGTTCATATTGTATGTTTATTTTTAATCCCAAATATGTTTAGTTGTATATGATTAATACTTTATACAATCTATTTAATTATAACATGATAGATTCAAAATTATCTCTTCTCATAAATCACATCTATTTGAACACTCAGATCATAAGCATCTTTAGACTTTGAATAATGAGTAAAAATTCTAATAGTTGAATCGATGAGTCGACTTAAGCTAAACTGCTATTGAAAACCTGGAAACACTGAACGGCAGTTTCGTTCTAGTATTGGACTCCTTGGTAGTACACATCCACGATCCCTCACCAAAGGGATTCGAACCCAGACCCTTCGGTCTCGCGCGCGAACGCTTAATCGCTAGACCACTGAACAGGCATCTAATGGTGTTAATGTGAGAAGCCCTGACCAGTGGAGTCCAATCCATGTCGGGTTCGAGTTTCTTTGGTGAGGAATCGGGGATGTGCACTGCCAAGGAGTCCAATACTAGAACGAAACTACCATTCAATGCTTCCAGGTTTTCAATGATGGTGTTGCCTAGGTTGATTCATGAATTCAACTATTAAATTACTACAATCTCCGCAAGACCCCATTCTGGGAATAAAATTTTAATAATGATTATGACAGAAATCTTTATTTGATCATTGTTTTCATTGACTGCTTTACACTGGAATTTTGAGATAAGAGAAACAGTAGAATTAGTGAAAACCAAAAGTAATCTTAGGTAACATTTCATTTGATTATGAGACACTGTATCAATTATCCCCTAGAATCTTTACCAAGAATTTCTATCAACAACCTCTCAAGAAGAATATTTCCATTTTCATCATAAGTTTACACTGTATTTCGGTTTTCAAAGCAGTTAAGTATGGATAAATGAATTAGAATTATTTTGAAATAATTTCAATAATGAAAGGTTGATAATTCTTTGTCTTGTTTTCGATTGATTAGCTGAGTTGAAATACTGGATTATTGAAATTTTATTCCATTTGTAATCACCTTTGAGTTTTCCTGTTTTTAATGTTAAAAACTGAAATTGATCGGTTTTATATGTTTATTCTAATTGAATTATCTTGATATTTCTACCAAGTCACAAATGTTTCTAAGCACAGTTGGATAGTGTCTAACAGTAAAATCTAAGATGCTCGTTTTTTTTTTCATGTAAGAATCTTCAATGGCATGTACCTACCACATCCTGGTGTTAATAATGTTCACTTTCAAATTTATTATAAATTCTTAATTTTGTCTGAAATATTTTATTGATTAGTTATTTAACTTAAAAAGAATATAGAATATTGTTCAATCCATCCAACTATAAAGTATTTTGGTAAACTGTTTGAGTAAACATATAGTTTACATATTTCTAATTTTAATTAATATAGTAAAACAATGATCTAGATCTTCATTTTCTATTCCATGAACTACATATAATTTGATACACATAGTTCCCTTTATCATTTTGAAAAGAGCAAGAACAAACATTTTAGCAGAATAGCATGAATTCATTTTTTATTTCGTTGGTTCTCCTCAGCTGCTTACAACCTGTGATATTTAAAAATCATAATTGCAAAATGGGTTTAAATTACTTACATAAAAGAGTTTGATTGGAAGTTATATTAAAGACATATTCATATAGTATAACAAGAGTGTAAATAAATTTAATAGACTGAATATTGTAAATCTGAACAGAAAGGAGGGCATATCTCAGATTTTTTGAGCATGTTCCAAAAAGCCTCAGAACAAGAGAAAGAAAGACTCTAAATAGTGCAATCACCAAACATCTTCTTGATACAGGACATCAGGTCGATACCCTACAATCATTCAAGGTGATTAGTAAGCAGCCAAACTCCATTCTTCTGAAGTTTGCTGAAGCAGTTGCTATCAGGTGCCAAAAGCCTGATTTATGTGTTCAAAAGGAGATGGTTATTAATCTTTCCTTGCCTTGGTGATTAATATTCCTTCGTTATATCTTAATAATTTTTTTTCTTTTTCTTTAAACTCTTTCTTGCATTTATTACATCATTATTTTATCAACTAAACTCTACTCATTTTATTCCTATCAAGGTTTATTTGTTTCTAACCGTTTGAACTGTTATCACAATGTTCTTTCATCACATGAGGTATATATTTACAATATTCAGTCTATTAAATTTATTTACACCCTTGCTATACTATATGAATATGTCTTTAATATAACTTCCAATCAAACTCTTTTATGTAAGTAATTTAAACCCATTAATTATGATTTTAAATATCAGAGGTTGTAAGCAGCTGACGAGAACCAACGAAATAAAAATATAATTTAATATTGTTAGTACAATGTTCTACGTTTTTTATGAAGGAATGTTCTTTCCACTCTTCTTTTATGATTTCATTCAATAAGCATTCAAAACTTTGTACTGCTTTGGAGACTTTCAATCTTTACTGTTCATTTTCGTAGCTTTATGAACATGTATTAAAATATTTGAACTTGGATTTCTTTACTTTGTACTGTTTTCATACCTTATTAGTTATGGAACACTAATTGACTCATTGGTCAAAACATTTAGCTTTCAAACTATTGGTTCCAGTTTCATAATCTATCCTAAATATTTCAGTTTAGGGTACTGGATAGTATGAGTAACTTTTACATAAATAATATGTGGCTCAAAGACGAGTATTTGAACCTATTAACATTGTTTGACCACTGACTAATTGTCAGCATCAAGGACTTAGCAAAAATATCATTGGTTTCGACTCAGTAGGCTATCGATATAAATATCTCAATCATATAGGGGATCAATATCTACCTCAACTACTCAATGGTAACATTTTAAACTGTGAACTGGGAAAACGCGAGTTCGAAACTCAGGTCGCGGAAACATCAATTCTCTTAAGATTGTAGATACGTTATTGATGAGTGTGAACTAGCGCGAAACCTAGGTTAACCACGAAATCCTTTCGATTACATCTATCCACTTTGCCTATAAGTCTATATTTGATCAATAGGTTACATCATTTATTGCCTACACAGCAGTTGAAACAATGCTTTTTTATCACGCTGGTATAACACAAAAAAAGAATCTTTTTAATTATGTTACAGTAGTTGGCTATAGTTAAATATCTTACTGCACATGAATGTTTCACATTTTTTTCAGACAGAGTATTGTTAGAGTTTTGATGTTACATTTTATCATAGTCTTTAGCAAATATAGCAATATTTAGTTGAAGTTATATAAACCAAATTTACAACCCGTTAACAATGACTTTCAATGTATCAATAACAAGGTAAAAACATGATCTTCAATCCAAAGTGACAATTATTGTTTATAAAGGTTAATGCTGATACGGCTTCAGTCAGTCAGTCAGCTACAACGTAGGACCAGGCACATATATGTATCGGTCCAAGTTGCCATACCTCATTAGCACAGCAAGATGAACACCGGATTCATAGTAGTTAATTCAGTGCTGGTAATATATAAAGGAAAGATTGCATATAAGGATATAGTACATGAAGAAAGAATTACTTCGTAGATATGAAGCGATTTTAATCTCACAGTTTCAAATTGCTACCTTGACGTGGTGGTCAGTTTTGCCTATCACGATGGACTAATAGAGCTATGCTGGCTGGAACAATCATTCCTCATGCCAGGCAGGTCGGTTGAAGAACGGTAAGACTAAAAGCAGGAAACCCAAGGTACGAAGGCGAAGTCGTACTGCTGACTTCATAGAGGTGTGATGGCATTAAGGTGTTTGCTTCAGACAACCAGCATGACAGCGATGTTGCCTTCCCACAACGTGGGATGGGGTTAGAAAAGGTCGACCCTGAAAATGCACACCTCTCCTTATCCCACGGATATCCGTCTCCGGCGGTAAGGTCTCAACAAGTACGGAGCTAACACGAAAGTTATCCACTAAAAGGTCGTGTGTGACCGACTTCAAGCAGTTGTCCCTTGGGCACTGCGGTCACCCTCTCAGGTCACTAAGACCACCTTTAATCCAATTTCCTTTTCAGGTACCTTTAGAACAACCCTTCCTCGGCAAGGGCAACCAGGAAATGATAACCGCACTCATGACTACTGATAACGTTTATCTTCTGTCAAATTTTATTTTGTCAATACGAGAAACCTAAAACTTTTGTTTTTATATACACACATGTATCCTGTTCAGTTGAACTTTATGTCATGAAGAATTGATCTCTCTACTTTGTTACCCCTTTTTCTTTAAAGAAAAAAATTATTAATCTTATTTGTTTGATACTGAGTTTTATTTTATTCATAAATAATTGTGCTTTCACCTTCTATGATGTGACTATTTATATCTGTTTTTTGTATGTATTTATCAAGTTCCACCAAATGATGGAGTTTCTCTTCCAACAACGGTTAGTCTGAAATTGCCTGATAGTTCTTCTTCATCAAACAATTCATCTACATCATCTTCATGTTCAAATCATATTTTGAAGTACAACAGAGAATTAACTGATGAATTAGATCTAAACAACCAGGTAAGACCTTCACTAACATTTCACTGTGACACTGTCTATTACAAAAAAAAGTTGAATAACTGTATCAAAATGCACAATCCTTAGTAGGATAGTGTATGCGCGTTGAACGAAACAGCTGTCCAGTTCTCCTTTGATCTAGTGATATGTTAATCTGTATCAATCTATGTAAATTCATGAAACCGGTCAACCATGCTCTAATCGTATAACCGCTATTGATCGACTTCGAAATTCGAGTGGGAAATCACAACCAATGGAGTTCAGCGATATTATAAGTGAGGTAGTCATCACTGACGTCATTAAATGGCCGTCACAATATATCTAAAACCGAGTGATATTGTAAATTTAAGCCATCAGATTTCGACTGATTGATCGAAATGTAACGCGCTCATTAAGAGACTTAAATATGTTGAATTGACATTATCCAGAAATCCTAAACTGAAATGAAGTGGTTCTTCAACTTATGTTGATCTGTGGTGACTATTACTTACATTGATTGATCACTAAGTAATGTTAGATTTGTCTAATCCCTTAATATTGATCGAATTCTCTACAATGTAGCCGCCAGTCTAAGTGACTTGATGTCGGGTGCACTATGTTTGGTTGGAAATAAGCGAAAGAATATCCTAGTCCACCTAGGTTTCTTATTAGTATGCGCTTATCACCAAGGTGTACCTACAATCTTGACGAAACTGATATACCCTAATGTATTCAAGATCAGATCACTCGGTTTGACACTCTAAGACATCATCAGTAGGCTATTCAAGCCCCAAATAAAATCCTGTATGGCTAAGATATTTATAATTGGTTGGGTACTGAATAGTGACCAATGCCATATTTATCCAATTACTAGTGCTTATCGAATCCCAAGGGAAGCATTATTTTTCTGTAAGATTCCTGATATAACTTACTGGTAAGTTCCAACCAACACGAGGTCTACATTCATGGTTTCCTGTTGACTTCTACTATGTATTATTAATATTACCTATAAATATTCTCGTAATCCATGTTTAAGTTTTGGATAATCAAATAAACATATGTTTAAATCAACTAACTAAATAATCTTTCCTAACTAATTTATACAGTCAATTACGCATTCATATTCCTCCTTCTTGCTTAATCTTAACAGTAATATTGATTATTACTTCTTTCTTTACTTTTAAACATGAAATAATTTACTTAATTATTTGATTTGTGCTATTCCTGTTTCTTTTGACCACCTATACACTTATTACGTAATTTTAATTTGTATTCTAAAATTAACCAATATAAATGTAAGTTTTTATATCGGTCTTTCGGTAAGCAAAATTGACCATACTCTATTGTGTATTTCCAAAAGGGGTTTTGTGGAGATTTTAGTAATTTTATAGTTGAATTTGTGAATTTCGCGGAGTGAGATCTTGGATGCACACTGTTGAGGAGTCCCATACTAGGACAAAACGGTCGTCTAGTGCTTCCAAGGTTTTCCATGGTAGTGTAGCTTTCATTGACTCATGAATCCAACTGTAAAATTATTTTAATGGTTGAGATCATGATTCAATTGAAGCTAGACCACCATGGAAAACCTGGAAGCACTGGACGGCCGTTTCGTCTTACTGCGGGACTCCTCAGCAGTGTTATTTACTAGTTCATCTATTTGTTTGTTTGTTTTTCTATGATTCCTAGAACATTGAACGTTTTGATTTAATGCATAATTTAAATAACGAAAATAATAACAACTTGAATGAACATAATTTCGCTCATAATACTTATATAAAACGAAGAAATTCCGAAAACTATGAACATTCAAAACTTTTGTATAATAATAATAATGCCATTCCATCTACAACTGGGAATCAATTATTCAATGTATCTGAGACTATTGGAAATCATTGTCATATAACAATTAGCAAACGTCGAGATAATGCAACAATTACAAATTTACAGTCAATAAATAACAATAGTAATTGTACAAAAATAACATCTACTACACCATTTTCATCATCATTTCGTGATTCAAATACTATGAATCAATTATTAACAAGACTGAATTCTATAGTATGTTGAATCTTTTATTAATGATTGAATAAGGTGTTTATTTTTAATAAAATATTAAAACTACTTTTTTTGCAATATACTTACATTTAAGTAGAGTTGGATAGTGGATAGCAGTGGATTTCAGAACGTGCGTTTCGTTCTATATGTGACTCGTCAGCTGGGTGTACCTGCATCTCAGAGTTGATGTTTATTCTGGGACTCGAAACCAGTACCGTTCGCTTCAAACTCCATCGCGTTATCCACCTAGCTACTGAATCCTGATAGCCACCATCCAGCTGACGAGTGCCGAATAGGAAGAAACGTGCGTCCTGGATTCCACTGCTATCCACTATCTATCTTTATTTAAAAAGCTTGTAATTTAAGGCTATATCGATGCAATCCACACAGGATCCACATATACCAACAAGAGATTGATCAATTGCAGTCCTAAATAACAATGGGAAGATACAAGTAAAACAACATCAAGTGAATTTGTACTTACATTTATTTCACAATATTCACATTGAAACTGATGATATCTGAAAGAATCAACAGATAAACAAATGTCAATTGATTTCAAGTTGTTCCGTAGATTTAAACCATTCTACCTGAGTAGACATAGACTTGAACACTAATTTGTTAAATATATATTTCTAGTTCATACTACGGCTACACGACCATAACACTTCAGTCGTATTGTTTTAACAGATGTAATAGAAGAGAACAGAGATGGGTCAGTTTTGAAGAAGGCTTTTCGTTGGGATTTGGAAAGGTAAAGTTTTCATCGTAGTTTGAGACTTATCGACTGCGCTCATTCCAACTCTCATGACAGACTAAACTCCAGGGATACCCAAATACAACTAAGTCATTGTTAAATGTTCGACATTTTCCAACTTCACTACCGAAAAAACGAAGCATGGTCTTCATCCAGTGTTATCAACAGATGACCACTAGTTTACCTATATAACTGATTCCAAAAATCACGGATTTTCATAATAACTTCAGGAAATCACGATACATACCAACAGATAGCACTGAAGGAAGATCGTGAATTGAATAGATTTGAAATATTTGAACCACTGGACTCTTTAATTCGATGGTATCGTTCTCGTTTTTTATCTTAAAGGTTTAAAATTCAGTCTACCATGTGATTGCGTGGGTATGCATCTCTTTTGATTTCAAAACTAAGATTATATAGCTGTTTGGTTCTCCGTAATTTCATTTGTTCCTCAAGTTGATGTCAGTCAATGATGGAAACTTTCAGGTTGATTGTAGTTTAAAGCAATAAAGCTACAGGATATTGGTAAAGTCAGACCATGATGCAAAATATGAGTCAACAAACATACTGCATACTAATTTTTATGTCTTCATTAGTGATTAATTTTGGTAGTTTTTTGGAATTCTATTGCTAAACAACCTTAAATGGATTCCAACTATGTTATATGTAAGGCAGTTGCCGAACAATGACATTGAAAGACAGTTGTATAATATCGTGGACTGATTGGAGCTAGAAATGTCAACCATCGAACTCCGACCCAGTGACTCGAAGTTCGACAGCTCATTACGAGATTTGGACTCCATGGTTTCGATCATCGGTAGTGTTATGGATGCACATTGCTGATAATCTTTATACTGAGACAAAACATATGTTCAGTACTTCTTGATTTTTATCGGTGGTCTAACTGAGATCAATCTGCAATGTACACCATATGATATTGCCTAATTCCAACAACAACAGTTCTTTTTTCTTGCCAAGGAGCACGACTCAACAATTATTTTATTTTGTTGGATCAAATGCATCAATGATGTTTATTTATTTGAACACACATATATATATGGTGCCCTCCTTTACCAATATCAACGATGTAATTGAATATATTTAGCCCAAAGTGTTAAAACTACCTTAGAGCTCAGTTTGATTACTTCCGAGTGAAATTTAATAGAAGCAACCGAGTAACTTTTTGCTCGCTTATTTACTTTCGAAATTTTCTTACTTGTTTTTTCTGTCTATAAGCCTACTACTCACTATTCTCGACCTGATCAATCCCGAAATGTAATTCGTACACATTCATGCAGTCGTGGAAAATCTCGATATTACTCACATGGATCAGCATCTGTACCAGATCCAGCATCTCCTGTTCGTTCATGGTCATCTATATCTTCCGGAAATGAGCACAGTTTAACAAATCGAATTGTTTGTAAATCCCGTAAACAATTGAATGATCAAACTGATTCCGGTTTTGTTGAAACCAGTTATTTAATGAAAACATTGAATACAAACAAGCCGTTGCCACAGAACTCCAGTTCAACATACCTGTAAGATTTTCTTTTTGAAGTCAAGTCTTTTTAAGATCAGTAGTAGATTATTTACCCATGATTCACACATGAGACATACCTATATTTTTCATCTATTTTAAGCTGTAGTGTGTATTAGTCATAAGTTGATCCCAGCTGAGGTACTACTGAAAATCATGCAGTACCGTACAGATATCTCGTCTTATTATGGGATTCATCGACAGTGCCCCCACCACGACCTCATCAGGAATCGAACCCAAGACTTCTTGAAGAACTCCATACCAGAACGTAACATCTCTCCTTGTGTTCTCTGGATTTTATTCGTACCCCAAATCAGACCACGTTGTAATGAATGTAACCTATGGGATTCAGACTTATTTAACACGTAAGTGACCATTTAATTTATATTATCTGAAGGATTTACGAACCAATAGATTCTAGGTCCTACAATCAGGTTCATTGATGTCCTCAATATATCATAAATAATCGATAAAATACTCTGGAGTCATGTTTTATTTCTTCTCAATGCTTATTTAGTTGGTTGTATTTCATTATCTTTATTTAGCTGTGTACTCATATTCGATATTTTTTCACAGAGAAAAGAAATCTGATCATTTCCACAATTCATATGATTATAGTCGTACAACAAATTTATCACAATATAATGAAGATATAAAATCTAAAAAATCAAGTGAAATCGATTCACGAACATATACACGTCGAAAGCATTCTCGTTCTAATGATCAGAATGGTAAGTCCATAAGTTTTTAAATGTCACCGCCTACTCTCTACTCAATGTACCTTCTTTAAACCGTAAAGTTACTCTAATTATCTTTAACCAACGTTAAATTGTATGACCAGTTCATTGTTGTAAGATTTCAAAGATTCTGTGTTATTTTTTTAATAATAGCCGTTTATTCAATGATATGTTTCGTTACAGCACGGAACTCTTTGTACACAATATCGAATTGTTATAACAATTTTGTCTGTATAGATTACGTTACAAACTGATCTTGGCTGGACAGCCATAAAAACAAAGAGCACTTGACAGATGTTTTGTCCTTTTATGAGACTGTCGGGAATTGTGCGACCTTCTGGCAGGGTCAGACCCAGGAACTTCACTTATTGAGGCGAACGCTTAACCTTTAAATCGTTGTCTAATTAAGATTAGTTCATGATGTGAATTGTAGGATTCAATAATCTCCGCAAACGCCTTACTCAGATTCTTTACTTGTACATTTGGATTTCGAACGGTCAAAAGAACATAACAAATTATGTTTTTATAACATAGATCATTTGTTATTTATCTTTATCTTTCACTCCCATTTCTTCTTTGGCTAATACCCAAGCTAGATAAATAAAGCTGAGTTCTCTCAGTAAAAGCATTCTTTAGGAGAGCAAGTTGTTCACTGCAAATAGTAGGAAAGTATCTATCGTAAATTGAAGTCAATAAATAACAAACGTCAGTCTTCCATGCAGGCATCAGTTGATACATAAAACTTCGAACAGTCGAGTTTCGCACATATAATGACTTTTAGTTTCAATTTTCCCCACCTACATATCACTGTCTAGGTCAGTCTGGACAAACGTAAATGGACATGAATAGTTATTGTTTCTTGAATTTGTTGGAAGGACTTCTGAAAAGCACGACGGAGCCTCCAGGGGCCCTAAAGGAGCTGAAGAGTTTCCATATAATCGGAGCCTGATGGAGCTTTCTAGAGTATCAACTTGGCATGCTATGATTGAACAGCAGCATAACTTGTCTCCTTGAGAATAGGCTGGATTATAATGATGTTATAGATAACGCTAATAACCAGAAATACCTATATTTTTCTGTACATTTTTTATTCTTACCCAACAATCACTTCTTCTATCTTCTGACTTTGCGACTGTGAGGTTCTATACGTTTGAGTACCGTTAGTTTACAATGAATACTGCCATTCTGATAAAATTACTTTCTTGATCATATTTCAAACGTAATTAGTGAAAATTCAATTATTGTTGATTATTAAAGACCATGTTATTCATTATTATCCACCAATAAATTTATATGAATATTTAGGACCAACCAAACGTGTATTATTTTACAGTCAGTATAATAATATAAATTAAGACAACTAAAACAATGATATTCTTCTTATTAATATAAACAAATTCTTGGTCTAATTTGTCTTTCTACATCTAACAGTTTTTTTCTAGCTTCAATTATTATTTTATGTTTGTTCTTGTTTATACCTTTCTGCCTGATTTATTCTACCATTGATTATAATAAAAGCTGACATTCAACTCTGGAATCCAGGTACACCTAACTGATAAGTCCCAAATAGGACGTAACAATCGTCCTGAAATCCACTTATAGCCACCATTTATTTCTTCTTATAAAAGTTGACATTTTTTTCGAAAATTCTATAAAATCTATACAACTTAAGTATATGACCTATAAATACATATAAGTAGTATTTTATCAAATAAAAAATATTCTCAGATATATATGTACTTCTGTGTGTATGTGTTATATCCCGATAAAAATAATGAATAGTAATTCTTGGGATCCATTTATGGACCAATGCTATGAGTATATTTTTATCGCGTAATTGTTATGTAACTAAACTGTTCATATTCATGTTGCTCTTATTATAAACTTTAATTTGACCTATACACTATTACTATACGATTTAGCATTCTTGAGTTATGGCCTGTCTATTAATTACTATCTCCTTCATTCACAGCCACTTTTGGCTAAATATTGTACAAGTGTTGTTTCATATTTTATGGTACGTTGTGGTCGGTTTGATAGGTATATAAACTCAGTATGCTTGAAATAAATGATTCATATTGTAGAGGCTGAGATTGATGTTCTGGACTTAACTGGCTGGGCTAGAGAGGAAGGGAGACCAATAAGGACTCTAAGTTGTTCGCACATGTTTCATGCGTCACTGGTTCGGTCGATAATTCGCTGCTCTCTAATAGGTGGTCACAAGTTACAACAGTATATGTACATATACATATCAAAAATGTTAAACAAGTGGAAGAGATAACCATTCCTCTCAACTCCAAAAGTGTTTTAAAAAAATATTGATTAGTTTACTTTTTATTTGCACAGGCTGCAACTTGCCAATGTAATTTGTATTGGCTTTGATCATCACCTTTTTCTTTCTTTCAACTAAGCTATGTAATTCAAATTAATACGGAACACATAATTCAGATACATTTTAATTAGTGTTTGTTAAGAAATCAATTGGTAACTCGAACTTTTTTCCAAAAAATATTTTATGGTTAAATGTTTGTGAGGAAAGTGGTATGTGTTTGTTTTGTTGTGTTAGTTTTTTTCTTTGATTCCAAGGTTCTGCTCTGTCAACTAGGGTCCTCTGTTAGATATTCAAATATCTCATCCATGCCATTTATTGTAATCTATTGTAATGTATCAATATTTTATTTACAAACTTTCCACCTTGTCAAATTTTTCCCGATGTACTGATGTACAACGTGACAATGTAGATTGATGCGTATTTATCCTGAATAACATATTGTCTTCGTATCTATTTATCTATATTTCTTTTAAATCTTATATGTTGAACATGTTCTTCAAATCCGATGATTGATATGTACTTTTACGTACACTCACAAGGTGTACACATAGGCAGATATGGTGGTAGCTAGCAGTGGAATCCAGGACGCTTATTTCTTCCTATTTAGGACTTTTCAGCTAGGTGTACCTGGACCACAGAGTTGATGTCCATTCTGGGACTCGAGCACAAACTAGTGGCTATATGGACTCAGTAGTTAAATAGATAACTTTCTTCCAACCATCTCCAACACTAGCCAGCATTGTGTTGTTTTAATCAGTGTTCAGACATACGTAACACGTGGCCCAACCGTCTTAGTCGATGAAGATTCAAAACCTCATCTACTGACTTACCATCATTTCCTAATACCCTGCGTCTAACCTCACTATTACTTACCCGGTGATCCCAGCAGATGTGAGCGATATTTCTAAGGCATCTGTGGTCAAATACTAGTAGCTTACGAGTATTTTCTACTCTTAATGGCCACGTTTCGCAGCCGTAAAGTAGAACAGAACGAACTACCGCGCAGTAATTTGGCAAAAACCAAACGAGATATGACAATATGAGATTGATCAATTACAATCCTAAACATTAATGGAAAGATTCAAACAACTAATACAAAAATGAATATTCTTTTCATATTTTCTTTCTTTCAAAATTTGTACTTTTAAATTTATCTCTAAGCTTTTTTTGTTTTCATTACATTAGTTAATTGATTGAACCATATTAGATAAGTATAATTCGTCAATTAGAGTATAGTGATTTTCTATTTAACTCTAACTACTAAATGAATCAACCTTGTATACATGCATTATAAGCAAAGATGGATAGTGGCTAGCAGTGGAATCCAGGACGCGCGTTTCGTCCTGTTTGGGACTCGTCAGCTGGATGTACCTGCATCTCAGAGTTGATGTTCACTCTGGGACTCGAACTCAGTACCGTTCGCTTCAAACGCCATCGCGTTATCCACTTAGCTACTGAGTCCTGATAGCCACTTGCTTGTGCCAATAAGAGACTGATCAATTTCAGTCCTAAAAAAAAACATCAATCGGAAGATTCAAGTAAAAACAATATCTTGTATACATGATTTTTACATATATTCTATATACTTACAAAGACACATACTAATCTCTATGTCGTTTTTTTGTAAATATATACAAACTATGAATGTAATTTAATGATTTGTAAACTTATTATGTTAAATTAATCCCTTAGAGACAGACATGCAAGTTGTTGTCTTTCCTGATATAGTAACAGTAAAAAAAATCGTACACAAATAATGTACTAGAGTATAAGTAATCACTAAAAACACTACAATGTATAACATCTGTCTTATTTGTAAAAAGGTTAACAAGCATGCTACTACCTAAAATTGTCCAATATAAAATAAATTATCTAGTCAGTTTAAATTCAATAATCTTTAGATAGATGCATTGATATTCAAAGTGAAAAGTGTCGGATTCAAATCCCAATATGAAAATTAACATTGATATTCAGACAAATCTAACTGACAAACTTGGATTAATTTTAATTTGGTTATTTATTCTCTGAAGAAGTGACTTACACTAAATCACGAAACATCAGAAAATCTAATTTTTCTACCCATTGGGATATTACAAATATATTATTTATTTATTTGTGACAATCTATTCAATGTTCAATTTACTCGAAATTATCAAATCAAACCTTGGTAATGACACCTAGAAACGACCTTTTATCATGAGAGGTTACCTTTTATTCTATTGATGATGAATAAACGAATTTTGAATTACTTTAAAAAGAAAAAAAGTTTCTCGACTGTACTATAAATTGATTAATCCGTTGAGTTTACTTTGACTATTTTAATGCTTAAAAATTTTGTCCATTATCAGCTCTGTGATATAATGATTTGGAATTATCTTGGTTGTTTTATTTTTAGCCATTGATAAAACCGTTTTATTAGAGTTTATATTACATTGATTTTGAAAACCAGAAAACACTGGATAGCTGTATAGTCTCAGTATGAAATTTCTCGAGAGTACATTCCCACGAACCCACTGGTAATTGAGTTAAAAACCTTCAAGCTTTGTGGCCAGCTATTTAACGGTGTCGAGAGTGAGTTAGTCATCTACTCAGTCATTCATTAACAATGTAGAACTTCGTACGTACGTACGTACATCAGTTTGAGTTGCTATACCACATTAGCACAGAGATGCAGTTGTCGATTCAAATCCCGTAGTGGTAGAGGTGGTGAGAGTATAAGTAAAAATCGGAAAGATTAGGGTTTGAGGATGTCATTCAATGAATATAATACAGTGAAATAAGTTTGGAAAGCGGAAAAAAGAGACATGAAGAATTCAAAAGATTAGAATTTATGCGAACAAAAGAGTGGATGCATCTGGTCCATTGCAAACGACTTTGAGCCATGTCATTCAAGGTCTCTAACCATCGGTTGCTATCATCTCGCGGATCCCAACCAGGTAGTCTATACCTACCAACATGGCTCAGTTCACTTGTCAGTGACTTCATGGATTTATGCCATGTTTTGGTCTGGTCGCCCCTAGTTTTCTTCCAACTTACTCCTACACTATAAAACACCGCACGTTGGGGCAATCAGTGGTTGGGCATACGTAACACGTTTCCCAACCATCTCAACTGATGAAGTTTCACTACTTCATGAATTGTTTTGCCATCCTTACCTAGTGCCCGTTTCCTAACAACTGAATTACTTACTCGATAGTCCCAGGATATACGAGCAATGTTTCGAAGACCACTATGATCAAATACTAGTGACCTACGAATATCCTCTATTCTTACCGGCCATGTTTCACTGCTATAAAGTAGGACGGAGTGAACTGTTGCGCAGTAAACACGTCCTTTGTTTGATAGACAGATATCTCGCCTACGCCATATATGACGCAAGTTGGTAAAAGCTAGTCGAGCCTTCTGTATCCGTGCTGAGATTTCGTCACACACTAGGCCACAAGGGCTGATGAGACTTCCAAGATAAGTGAAGCGGTCGACACGCTCAATTAATTCACTCCCTATCATTAGTTCCGGTGTCTATGCAACCCAATCCTGAAACAACATTTTGCATTTCGAGGGAGAAAATCGCATCCCGAACATGCTTGCATTGTTGCTTATTGTGGTCAGAAGACTCTGCATTTTGTCAGCGTCTTCATCTACTCATAGCATTGTAAAATGAATACACATTAAGAACTGATTTAATTCAACCAAATCTGAAGGTCAAGAACTCGCTACTAGATCTGAGAGTACTAGTTTGAACTCCGGGTAGTAATGGCAGGGAGTTGATGTGGACTGTTTAGGAGTCCTATGCTAAAACTAAACATCTGTTCAGTGTATTTTGGCCTTCAATAATTGTCTAATTAGGATCAGTCCGTAATCCGAACTGTGAGATTCAATAACATTCACAAATCCTTTATTTTTCTATTTATATTTTCCCTGTTATGAGTAATTCGCTTCAATGACTGTAGATTTTTCCACCATCTTTATTTTAACTTTTTAGATCCACAGAAATATTTGACTACGTTAGATGCTGAATCTTATCAAACTTGGGTAGCTCGAATGTCCGAACTTGCTCAAGGTCTTAATAGTCTAGCTAAAGAACCGGTAAGTATTATATATGATGATACGTCTTTAGAGTAATTTCATTGGGCTTAATTGATGCTTCAGGATTGTTACAATCTGCGACGTCTGTCTCAGTTGCACTCTTCTGAAATTCTAACCAGCATTACGAGTGAGTAAACTGAGAAGTGATTAGGAAGCAGTAATTGACTAGTGGAGTAATTAAGTACACAAATCATTGGAATATATATATATATATATATATATATATATATATATATATATATATATATATATATATATATATATATTCATCTTTCTGACCCTCGTTTATAACTTCTCTCCTGTCGTTTGATCTTGAGTTGGCATATGGGCTCAGAGATGCAACATTTCTCTACTCAGTCGATCTGTCAAAGATTTTATTCGAAATAATCAATTCGTTGAGTGAACTCATCATCCTGAATCTCTCTTCCTTCAGGATTGAAACCTTTACACCAATAGGTTACTGAATGTTTATTATATCTACTTCCATTATTGATCAGTACAAAATAACACGAAACCTACATTATAGACTTTCTGTCAATCGTTTTCAACCATTATAACACCAGAATAAACCCGTTACGTATTAATGAGTTTTTCAACTAATAACACACATCACCTAGATTGATCAGTAACGCTGATACTCAAAAATCACTATCTATTGGTTCAAAAATCATTCCAATAATTCACTACTCTATTGAGTTCAAATATCAACTAATTGTTTAGTAACTATCATTTTTATTCATAAAGATTTGGATCATCCAGTTTGTTGATATTTTATTTTAACAAAATGGGAACGAATCAAATTTCAATTCAGAAAACATCAAAAACAAGATGATTCAAATCCTTACAAACAAATAATATTCCAATTTCTATACAGCGTGTAATTGATGTTGAAATCATGAGTCAATTGAAGCTTGATCACCATGGAAAACCTGGAAGCACTGAACGGCCATTTCGTCCTAGTATGGGACTCCTCAGCAGTCCAGTGCTTCCAGGTTTTCCATTTTGGTCTAGCTTCAATTGACTCATGATTTAAATCTGTGAAATTTCTAAAAAATCTCCACAAAACTCATTCTGACTTAATTGATGTGTCTAGAAAAATAAAAATAAATTTTCACTATAGAATACAATCATATATTCATTTATGTTCTCTTGTCAATCATAGCTATTTCAATCTGATGGAAGTTGTAGTGAAGAGAATAAAAATGAATTTGAACCAATAAACAAATTGTATCCAGATGTTGGAACAATTAATTTACCATTAATAAATGATAATACACAAACTATACCTACATTACCAGATAGTACTACAGATCCAGGTCTATCTGAAATTGTTGAATGTTCCGCTTTCACTACACCATTACCTCATCATACATTAGAAACAATGTTGTCAGTTGCTCCGGAAAATTTATCAAATTTTCAAAAATTTTCTCAAACTATTTTAAATCGTAATAATACTAAGAAAGTATATCTTCCTATTATACAAAATGGTACAGATGAAAAATTTACTGATTTCATTCTTTCATCTCAATCATTCCAATTAAATCCAAATTTTGATCCGGATAGTTCTGATCCAAATGAATCTGCTGTGAGTGATGCATTTTTTAAATTTTTCACCTTAAATTTATTTAAATGGTTAAGATTATGAGTCAGTCGAAGCTAGACCATCATGGAAAACCTAGAAGCACTGGACGGCCGTTTCGTCCCATTTTGGGTCTCCTCAGCAGTGCACATCCACGATCCCTCCCCCAGGATCTGCTGGTTTCGTGCGCGAGCACTTAACCATTAGAGCACTGAACCGGCCGGCATCTAACGGTGTTATGTCTAACTTCAACTAATTCACGAAATTGATCGACACATCCACTATTGTCTTCAGTGAGTTGTTAGCTCACAACAGACACAGTTGAACTCCAGTGGTCACTGCTTTTCACTAGAACTCCAGGATATACATTTTGAAGCCAGTCACTAGTGAACATATGTTGATTAGTATCAGAAGGAGTTTTGTGGAGAGTGTAGTAATGTAATAGTTGAGATCATGAGTCAATTGGAGCTCAGTGGTTAAGTGCTCGCGCGCGAAACCAGAAGGTCCTGGGTTCGAGTCTCGCAGGGGGTGAGGTCGTGGATGCTCACTGCTGAGGAGCCCTACAATAGGACGAAATGGCCATCCAGTGCTTCCAGGTTTTCCATGGTGGTCTTGCTTCAACTGACCCATGATCTTAACCATTAAAATTACTATTATATTCACAAAACCCATCTGATATCAAGTTTATTTATTTGATTTTATGAGGAAAATATAATTTGCCGATGAACCCGACTGATTGAAAAGTGACCTTGAGAAAATTATAAAATTATTAACCAATCAAAATGCAGACGTCATAAATGATCAACCTTCTACCTTACAAAAGCCAAAAAACAGTTAGTGTTAGGAGCCTATGTTTAAGATTATCTTGAAAAGCTTAAAAATTCACGTTAAGATGTCATAGACATTTTAATTCTACTTGTTTTCTATTATTGTTTTTCTGTATACGACTAATCACTTTCTTGATATCATTTTACGAATGACTTGGGCTTGTCGTCATTCTTATAGTCTTTCTAATGTTTATCAGATTTTAGTGTCTTAGTAACTAGATACTGGTAAGATTTCACTAGCTCATATATAATGTACAAGTTGTCCATTATCATATTTTGAATTCAACCCAAAAATCTGATTGGTTTGTCAGCGAAGTATACTTTTATTGTCTTCATTGATCTAAAGAATAGTGCATTTCCTTGATGTTCTTAGCATCTATTAACTCCGCCTGAACCCCTCACAGATTTATTCCAAGTCCAGATTGGTGTCAGACAAGGCTGTCTACTCTTCCCCTTCTTCTTTCTTCTGGGGGTCAACCAGATTATGAGGACCTCGACATCTAAGGGAAAGCACAGAATACAATGCATAGCTTGAATGCAGAGAAACCATTCGGATTCTCCAAATGATCTCACTCTTCTATCACACAAACAACGACAAATGTAGGTGAACACACCGAATGTAGAAACACACACAGCAGCACTAGTCTCAACATACACAAGAGAAAATGCAAGATCCTAATACATAATACTGTCAGCACCATTCAACCAAATCACACTTGATGGAAAAACTGTGGAACAGGTGGACACTCACGAATGTGGGAAACATTGTTGATAAACGAAGAGAATCTGATACAGATGTGAATACACGGATCGACAAAAGGAGGGATGTATTCCTACAATTGGAGAACATCTGTAACTCAAAACAATTATCTGTCTGTCAGTTTGTCAGTCAATCAACAACCTGGTCACAGTTTCAATATAAATTTGAGATGGTGATATTGTATGGAGTGGGAACTTTCAGAACTACTACGACCGTCATCATTAGGAAGGTATAGATATTTATGAATGGTTGTTTATGTGAGACACTCGTTATTTGTATTTTGGATTCAATCAGCAGCAAAATAGTGTGTCAGGAAAGCAAGCAGTTTGCAAGTGAGGAGGAGAATAGGGGAAGACGATGTAGGTGAATGGGTCACAATGCACATTGTGGAAATCATGAAACTGCATCACGAAGCAAGTCTTAACTTGGAATCCTTAAGGCAGACTGTGTAACAGATTGGTCATGGGATTGGAGGCAGACATCGATTGTATGAATCATGATTTTGATCAGGTGGAGAGATCGCAGAATAGAGTTAGTTGGAAATTGCTTTTTGCCATCTTATACTCTATCAGATGTAACAGGCTAATTTACTTTTCGTATCTATTTTCCGGTAGAATGAAGTTTATTAATTTAGCTCAAACTTGTAAAATTTTCATCAAGTTCTTTCAGACTAAACGTAAACAACTTAAGTATTTATTAAACTTTTGATTCTGTTTTTTAGAATGTTAGTTTCATAGTTCCGAATTTAACAGCAAGCGTGGTCTAAAAATTTTCAAAATCTTTTTCTGCTGTATAATGCATTTCTCGTTAACATTAGAACTCAAAATTTAAATTCTTTTCGTTCTTGTATTCAAATTATCAATTTCTTTTGTAAATCCATAGTGGTTGTACACACTGTGTATGTGTTTAGTTCTGGTGAAAATATTTCATCAACTTGTAGTTTCCTATCGTCTTCATCTCTTTCATCATTCTTCCATTTACAATTTTGTGCACTGTTTTATTACTTAATTACTTACTTACGCCTGTTACTCCCAATTGAGGATAGGCCTCCAACCTGCATTCTCAAACCCGCTCTGTCCTGGACCTTCCTTTCCAGTTTTATCCAATTTTCGTTCATTTTTATCATGTCTGTCTGTCTCCATTTCTCGACGTTATGTGTTCTTTGGTCTTTCTCTTCTCCTCTGACCTTGAGGATTCAGATTGAGGGCTTGCCTTGTGACGCAGTTGGGTTATTTCCTCGATGTGTGTCCTATCCACTTCCATCTCTTATTCCTAATTTCTTGCTCCATCGGGACCTGGTTTGTTCTCTTCCATAGTAGGTTGTTGTTCATAGTGTCTTACCAACGGATCTGGGGTAGTCTGCGTAGACAACTGTTAATAAACACTTGTATCTTCTGGATGATGGCTTTCGTAGTTCTCTACGTTTCCGCCCCATACAGTAGAACTGTCTTGACATTTGTATTGAAAATCCTGACTTTGGTGTTGGTTGACAGACAGTTGTTTTGAGTTCCATATGTTCTTCAATTGTAGATATGCTGTTCTTGCTTTACCGATTCGCGCCTTCTCATCTGCATCAGATACACCGTTTTCATCAATGATGCTGCCGAAATATGTAAAGGTTTTTACATCTTCCAAATCTTCTCCGTCAATTATGATTGAATTGGTGCATGCTGTGTTGTATCGGAGAATCTTGCATTTCCCTTTGTGTATGTTGAGACCTACTACTGTTGAGGTTGCTGCTACACTGGTCGTCTTTTCCTGCATTTGTTGTTGTGCGCGATAGAAGAGCCAGATCATCTACAAAGTGTAGATGTTCATTGTATCCCATACTTCCCCTGAGTTGTTGACGTCTTCATGATCCAGTCGATCACCAGGAGAAAAAAAAGGGTGAGAGTAAGCAACCTTGCCTTACACCGGTCTTTACCTCGAACGAGTCTTTCAACTGTCCTCCATGTACGAATTTGCAGGTTAATCCATCATAGGAATTCCGTATGATATTGCCTATCTTCTGAGACACGCCGTAATGTCGAAGAAGCTTTCATAGTGTTGTTCTGTCCACAATATCAAATGATTTCTCGTAGTCAATGAAGTTGATTTAGAGTGATGAATTTCATTCAATTGATTGTTCCACAATGATCCGGCAATGTTTTATTATCAGAGCTTATATTACGTACATGCACTATGCCAACATTTCGGATTTCTGGCTTAAACCAAGTAAATGAAACTATCTGTATCCTTTTATTCTTTGACTGGTTAACTAAAATAATAAAGACGAGTGTAATAATAGAAGTTGTGGTGATTATGACAACAATAGAATTGTAAATATATATAACTTAGTCGTTTATGCGTTAGTTTCAAAGTTTAGAATCTATGAACTAAGCATTTGGCACTAAAATACAAATCATAGTAAAAATGTATTGTAAGTCTGTGATCAGAGTTTACTTCTCTGAATAATTTAGCGTAATGGGAATTCATCATAATCGATATTGGTTTCTTTGTAATCTTATACTATACTAGTAACTTTGAACGAATCAGTCAGAATGAAAATGACACCTTGTTGATGTTTTTCACGAAATAGGGAGAGTTGTGATAAATAGTTTCTATGTAATTGTAAACCAAGCGAAATTGGCAATATTTTATCCTTAGAATGATTGGAAATAATAAAGAAATATCTGTTATGCAATCAAGAAGTAAATAGTGCACTATGTTTAAGAACCTTCTCTGAATGCAAATTATATGTTCAGGTACTTGATTTGATTCAGTGAGTAATTGGTATTTGTATAGCTAGATAATATTATAACTGGATAATAAATCTCAGCTTTATGTTTCCTAAATCTGTCAACACAATGGTGTCACCGGATCATTGTATTACAATTGATGTCATTTCTCAATGAAAACCCTAACCCTAATTCGTAATCCCAACTCATAACTCCAGCTTAAAACCGAATACTTAACCCTGACCTTTGGCATTATAGCTAGTATCAGTTAGTGACAAAAAAAATCTTTAGTTTTCAGACCTAACTCACAACGCTAACCCAACTGTTAATATGTAGTTTCAATGTTATTCCTTCACTGTAAAGAATAATTCAACATGTTTGGGTTAATTAAAACGATTATTCTAGTGTAATTTTATGGGAGGTTTTCATTGTTAATTAGTTGATTTTCACTACCTTCTCGTGGAGGGGGTGTTTTTTTTACGAAATTAAGAGGACGAAAAGCGAATGCCCAGCGCTATAACCGGACTGGTGGACACAGAGAGTCCACCTAGAGGAGTCGAATAACCCTCATTCCAAACCAATGGTGTAAATGAGCTCCAGTATCCTGAAGAAGAAAATGGAGTATGAACCAATCATTGGTCACCGGCTACCACGGGACTGTATCTCCTTACGTTGCTTGTAGATTAGACCTTTAGGTAGAAGGCTTAGGGTGTGGCCCTCTAAGAAAACCACCTGTTTCGGTTTGGGCACCCATGCAGTATCCCATCCTTCACACAAATCGAATGATGAAGTGTGGCGTATATCTATTTGGTGCCTTCTTCACTGTTTATGTGTTTAAATAAATAAATAAATAATTTAGAACTGAACACTGTCTCTTGATTGGCTGATAAGTCGATCATGGTCATCTGGATAAGTATCCTGGTACCAATTTCCTCATAAAATGTATTTGGCGATTACATATCCCCCTATATAATAATCTAGATCTTTTCTTTATATGAATTTACTTGAATTTCTTTTTCCTTTAAAATATAGATTTACTATTCACTTATGGTCGATACAATCCGGTATCTGTCTATAAAACTACGTCAATTCTCTGATAAATTAGCCTATCGATTAAGGTAATATTAATTAATTCATAAAAATAATTCAGATCATATATGTGTAAATAAGTAAATATATTAGTTGATTGATTGATTGTTTGTTTGTTTCTCATCTAAACATATTGATCAGTATATTTCTTTATTGAATAATGATTTACTTATTACTCACATAATCTCTTAGCATTCAATCATTCGAATAACAACAAAAATGGTAGGTGTACGAATAACTCCATAATATAATCTATTTTATTGAATAATAACACCTTAAAAATGTTTTCCATGTGTTTCTAAGCAAATCAAATGAAATCTAATTCATGTATATACATTTGAAAATCATTTATCAAATATAGATTTATTTATTCAGCTTTTAGTCATGAGTTATGTCTGAAGGTTAACCATATTACCCTATTGCTTATTTAAGTCATAATAGGTAAACTATATTTCAGATCTGCTAGTTATTGATTAAAAGTTGAATTTTTGAACTACTAAGCCAACATTCAAATTAGCATATTATTAATATGTGCTAAGATGTTAAGGTGTTCGTTGAAGTTGTGCTGTAATACATGCAACACAATATTCTCGACCCGATCGCATGTGATATTGTGGATATTTACTTCTGAGGAGTCTTATACTATCGAGTGCTTGCTGGTTTTCAATAGTTATATAGGTAAAATCAGTCCACAATAGGGAACTGAAAAACTTACACTTGTCGTGAAATCTTATTGTAGAATGTTTTCAGTTCTCTTGATCTTCATTGTTTTAATGACTTACAATTCCATTTAAGAGAATGTATTTTTTAGTTTTACTCCAGCTTCTTCAATTGGTACGATGAGATAAGTTCTTTTTCACACACACACACTCATAACATCTTTGGCTTTCAAACATATATTGATAAATAAAACTTATGTGACAGATAATTTACTGAATTCATCTTATAAATAAAACTAATATGATGGAACAATGTTCGAACTCAATACAAATGTCTATCGATTCACACTTAGTTTCAGCATATCAGTTGGAAGAGTGAAAATAATCATATCCAATAATTATGAAGAAGTGGAAAAATAAGCATGGAAAACGGGATAAAATTGCTAGTGGTAACGTATTAACTAATAGTGCTAATAGTAATGGTGTGATGTTCAATAACTAGAGTAAAATTTACGATAAATATTTGTTTCACTGTGCTTAAGTTAGAGAGCGTTGAACGTTTTCGAGCAATAATTAAAAATCTCATACTGTGTTAAAGCAGTTACTATTTACAATGGATTTAATCTCTGAATGGTGACCAATATTATATAAGTTAAGTTCTACTAAGTCCTAATACAATTCACGTGACTCGATATCGTGTGCACCATATTGAGATGTAAGATGGTAATAATCCTACAGGGTATCAGTCGTGATCTGGATGGCTCAGTGGTAATATCTCTGACTGTGAAACCGAGAGCAGCTGTCCCCTCAAGATTATAGGTATGACCTGCTGATGAATACCAACTAACGCAAAACCTATGCCCAAGGTTTCCTGTCGACTACCTCCAATCATGCCCCACTTGTAGTTATTATTTATTTACTAATAAAATAATACATTATAGTAGTAGTGTTGTACTTTGAAAATTCACCATTTGGTCGAGAGAGTATCTAGCACTACTCTCACGCTTTGGGAATTTGTCTATTCCATTTTTGCCCTGAACATTGATCGACAAAAATAAGTTTGGATTTACATAAAAATTAGGTACGTTGAGGATTTATGTATCAATCATTGACTAAGTGACTAAACAACTCGAATCGGATCTATTAGGTTTCAATATGGAATCTTTCTTTTTGTCTGTTCAAATTTGGATAGCTAGATAACGTCATTAGCCTGAATGCACAATAATTGGACCTCAACGCTGAAAACACGGATTTGTAGTTAGTTACCCTGTCTACTAAGATTAAAACGTTTTATTGGGTAGTCTGTGTCAATTATTTGATGTTGAAGTTATTATTCGCCATGAACTAATACCAATCAAGGAAGCATTGTAATCCAGGAAGTGCTAGACATTTATCCAACCTTAGACTGAGACTCCACAGTAGATATCCATAACCATTCGTCCAATAATGATCTTATACACACCCATAAAAAACTTTAAGAATACATCTCAAAGTTTCATTGTGATAAAAATTATGACTGGCTAATCAGGTCGAGAGTAAGGGAGCTATTTACGAATTTCATTGAATGATTATTGCAATAAAAACACGAATTGACTGAAATTTGAATTATGAACTATGCGATTTCAAACCACGCTACTTACGAGGTCTGAAAGTTCAGGATTCGATCCATGTTTGTTTTATTCGTGCGCAATCCTAAAAAATAGTACCATACTCTGGTGAAACATCTGTTCATTACTCTTTGGTTCTTTATATTGTTTCCCTTCTCAAATGATATATTAATACGTAATGTAAGCCCATACTTAACTTGAAATTTACACATCAAGTAGTCATTTTTATTTATTCATATTAAATTGATAATGTAGTGTATTTTTATTTGGTTACAATTTCTCCTCTGACCTCTTTTTCCTAATTTTTTATTTAAAGTCATAATCAACAACAAACTAACGCGAGTGGAAGTAATACTACTGAATTAAATAGTCGTTTTGTATCTACACAACAGAATCGAGATGATGTACAATCATCAACAAAATATGCCTTACATGATACATTTGAAAATATGAAAGCAGTTAATCAACAACTTCAAGGTGAATAAACTATTTTTTGGTTTTCATTCCTGTTAAACGTTAAAAGCTAATCCGTGTCGGGTAGAAATAGGTATCTACCTCAGTACAATGGAAGATGGTCGTGTAATTTTGTGGATTGGTTGAGGTTAGATATTAACACTATTGGATGGCGGTTCAGTGGTTTAGTTGGTTAAACGCCTGGCGCGAGACTGACAGGTCCTGGATTCAAATCTTGCGGGGTCGTGGATGCGCACTGCTGAAGGTTCCCATACTAGGACGAAAAAGCCGTCCAGTGCTTCCAGGTTTTCCATGGTAGTCTAGCTTAAATTGACTCATGATTTCAATCAACAACAACAAAATTTTTGTTGTTGATTATATAAGAAGATTAAATGATTTGATATTAATAATATTCGAATAGTATCTGGTTAATATTTTGCACAGAATTTCGTAATGGGATCAACTTGTGTGCATGTATACGTTTGATGAAGTCACTCATCTATCTACTATGCATTCTTTTTGCTTTGTATGTTTAGCTAATGTTATTGAATTGAGTCTAGAAAATATTATGCCTATTATCCTTGAAAAAACTCTGAACTATATTGCGAAGATTTCACTATTTTAAAATTGTGTCAAATCGAACAAAATATAGATTTTGATAGATTTCTAGGGTTCTGTGTCATGAATATACGAAATGTTTGCGTCACCCTCATTCAGGACTTAAGTATAATCCTATGTGTGTGGTTAATGACTGACTGGCTTACCGACTAATTCAGTTTTATCGATAGTAGTCATCAGTTGAACCCAAAAAGTAGTGATTAGCAGATGTTAACAAGCTTTTTGGACCTATTATTATAGTACTATTTTCAACTCATTATGTTACCAATTCAATAATTTGACCAGAAAGTCATACAGAGCTTGTACATACGTAGCCGGTTGAACAAGTACGCAAAATGAAGTCATTAAAGTTTTATATTAGAAAATTTAGAGTACATTAATTTTATTCTGATCAAAATTACCTATATTTATGGGGTTATCTCCATTATTCCATAACATTTATGAAGGTTCTCGCATATCAATCCGTTTTTTTAGCTGCCTCATCTTACATTTTTCTCGGTTTATGTACTTAGATGATTGCTCCTAATTCAGTTAGTCAGAAACCATCAAGACATTGAGATTGCGATCGGAAAGCTCAGAAACCACTCATAATTAAAGATTTTAAAGATATCACGGATATTCAGGGTTTGACAACGCTTTTGTTCGTAACACCTCTATAATTGACTGACCTCAAATCCACTCAAGCCAAAAATCACGAATGAAAGAGTTTGAATATACATTCGGAAGGTATTCGATATATCGAGAAGTGTTTGATCTAAGCTAAATGGTTGTTTTGAGGGATGCGTAGAATAGCATACCCAATGATGCTCTGGTATGGATGCTTGACTGACTGTGCGCCTTCAGCTAGGATGTGTCCAGTAAAACTAATGAAGTCAACACTTGTATCGAAGATCTCCAGAACTATTTATTTTTTTGGGTTTATTTCAACGGGTTGACAGTCACCCTCTCAAACTTCACAGTCCTCACGAAAACACTAGATCAGCTTGAAAAAAGTTGTTTTGTTCATTTTTTTTCCATGAAGACTCTTTAATAGTTTATGAATTTCTTAAGTTTTTTTTGTACTAGGTTCATCGATAACCCTAGCAATCCAATATATTGATTAATTTAATTGTTTCACCCTTTGTTTCTTCCTAAATTGTTATGGTTACAAATAGTGGTTGGCAAATTGTTGTTTTCCAAAAATAATGATAATACTATGAATGAGTTAAATCAAATAGACAACGCTACAAGTTGTGAATATCTACATAAATTGGAACAATTTAATCAAGAATTGTATCGTTTTATACCAATTGAACCGGCAAATATTCATCATAATCATAACAACATTAATACTACTACAACTAATGATAAATTTATTCAAATCCCAAATACAAATATACAATCAGTATTAACTGATGAACAACAATTAAATGTTGACAGTAAATCTATGAATGTTAGTACCAATCAAGTAATGATGAATACAACTTCTGCGTTGAATACACAATTCACAACCGATGACAATACTAATACTATTAATAGTAATAATAATAATAATAGTACATCTACACATCTTTCTCATCCTTTCACTTCTATGACTACCACTACTACTACTACCATTACTACTGTACACTCATCCAATGTTCATGTTATCCCTTTAACTGGAAAGTCAAATGATATGATCAATAAACAAGAGTTATTAGAAGATGAATACTACTAATCATATGAGTAATAAATAGTATTATTGGTAGTAATAGACCACAGTTAAATATTGTATTATCACCTCTGTTTTTTTTTGTGTGTTTCATTATTTCTTCCTTTCTTTCTTTTTGTGCATGTGAGCTTTATGCAATCACGAACAACAACAAAAAACGAATAAATCCGGTGTATATATGATGTGCAATATTATGCAATTGATGATGAATCCATTAATTATATTTATTTATAATTTGCTTCTTTTTCATGTATTGTCATTTATTTTTTATTATTTTGCTTTATTATTTTCAATTATTAGAAATATTTATCAAGTATATTCATTGTAAGCTTAAGAAGTTTCTTTTCCCTCTCAATAAGGGAGTTAATTATCGTATATTTCATTCTATATGCTTTTTGTTTGTTTGTTTGCTTTTTTAAAAAAAAAAAAGAAAAAAACTATTCGCAACTATTTCTGTGTTTATTTACACTTACATATACTCCATCATCATGCTCCTTATTGTTTACCCCCCCCCTTCTGCCTCCCTTCTTGCACCTATACACCTCACCGTCATTGGCCTTCTATTGAGTATTTTAAATAATGTAACATGCCGTGTATATTTTGTTTACAGAAAAAGAAATAATCGAAATTCTACATAATATTTATTGTTTACTTATTTATGGATTGACACTCTTTTGTTGTTTTTTTTTCATTTATCTATTTATTAGTTTATTTTGATTTCTTTTATCTTAGGGAAAGTTTTCTTTTTTTTTGTATGTTCTTATTTGGTTTATTTGTTGTTGTTGTTGTTTTAATTATAACAATGTTATTTTCTTTGAAAATTGTTTACATTATGAAATGTGACAACTGAACAAATGCATCATTCTAGTTAAATTGTCTACTACTACTACTACTACTGAAGAGGAATCTTAAGCTAAGACGAAACATGTGTTCTATTGAATACTTCTCAATTGTCAGTAATTATTTTACTAGTTTTAATCAATTACCCATTATGTTAATCACTTTTTAAATTGAACACAATCATCATCAGTATAAAATATTGTTCTATTTTCAATTTCACCTTCATTGAATCAATGTAATAGGAGTGAATGATAACATGCAACAAATAATTTGTATTTTCTTTTCCCATCTAACTTATTATCATTGTTGATGATAGTATTTTCTCATTAATTCATTATTTATTTCTATTATTTCCCATTACTCCTTCCCTCACCCCACCCTCCTTAACTGATTCCATTTTTAAAGATAAATTATTTACTGTATAATATTAAATAAATCAATAATAACACAGGTACCATTTTCTTTATTTTATGGATTATTATTATTATCTATTCTTTTGTTTATTAATTTATTGATTTCACTGTGCAAATATTGATTTTCATTGAATGTTTTATTTTCAATCTATGTATTATGTAATTTTATTTTGTCTTAAATTATCAATTAGAGTTATTGTACAAAAACATAATATAAGTTGGAAAGATAAAATGTGAATGATTGAAATGCTTACTTTCCACCCCACCCCCCTCCTACCATCACCAGCCCTCTTCCCTCACAAATCTACTTATTAACATGAATAACTGTATGTATAAATGTTTAATAACTTGAAAGCATTAAATATATATATGTATTTGTATATCTGTACACATAGGTGATATGAATTTCTTTCTTTATGTTAACACCCTATTGTTGTCTGTTCGATTTCTTTATTTACCGGTTTGCTTACTGTAACTGTTAGATATTTCAGAAATTTGAAGCTTTCATTTTACCTACTTATATATATAATCTTTCCCTATCAATATGTTTCAATTAAGTTCAAAATCTAATAGAGATATACAATTTATCGTTGTTTGTGTTTTGTTCTCTGGGGTTTGATCATGTTGTCCAGAATGAAATTGAAAGCTATAGAATTAAATTAATAAGATTCGATAATACAACACAATTAAAAGGAATCATTTCAGTTACATAACTTCTACATTATTTCAAGGCATTTTTATGTATGATATTTTGTGCTTAAATACCATCATTATAGCAGCTTACAATGTTATTCTTGATATTTGGAATTATAAAACTGGAGGGATAGTCTACATAATGATTGCATAATAAATATTTTAAAAATTAACACATTCCAAGTTTGAGTGCTGGAGCGAACATCGACTCTGGAATTCAAATACATCTGGCTGATGAGTCCCAAATAGGACAAAACGCGCGTTTTGGATTTCACTATTAGCCACTATGCATCTCTGCTCATAGTATTCATGACTTAATGGGGATATCGTGTCGTAAACATATGTGTTCAATTTTGGCTAGTGTCGTGTTTTCTAAAACGTTCGTGACATGGTAAGACAGATATCAATATGATACTTCTTAGTTTTGTAATGCTTCATTTGGTGGGAAAAACAACTTTTGAAATAAACTAATTACTCTACAAAACCCTTTTTTGTTTGTTGAGTCACATTACGTTGATCGGACTTACCTCGACATGTGAAGTTTAATAGTGTGATAGAAAATAAAGAGAAATATATATACGACTAAAACAAGACCTGACATCAATCCATGAAGTCATTGATTGTTGTACAGAGTTGTGTTGTAATAGGTCTAAACTTTCAGGTTTAGGTTCTCACTAGTGGAAAAACCAATGGTTGAAGGAGTGAAATATAGCTCAGTATCTGTCACAAACAATCTATCCGTTAGGTTTCATTTCAATAATTTTATTAAAGTAAATAAATTTTCACAATATTACTTACTCAGTAATCAACAAATGTTATTTAAAACAATTAGTCCCTTTGATAAATTTCGATAGTGTAATAAGAAGATTATCAGAACTATGTGGATATGTTAGTGCATTACATTTCGAACCATCTGATCATTCATAATATACTTGTTAAGAACATTTATATATAAGAAATAAAAGGTCAACTAGACTAGAAATGGAAGGTGAGAGGAGACAAGGATAATAAAGAAATAATGTGAAAACAATTTGAAACCTCATCACTTTGGATAATAAGCTAATATTACCAGGGTAGATTTCGGATGAGAACAAACTGTTTTTGAATAAACAAAAAGGGGGTTCGGATTATCGTATGGCTAAGGCTTCAATAAACCTTAGTATACTCCCGTTTACACTTTTGTGCAACACCACAAAAGCTGAGTTACGATCAATCTTATGACCTGTTTCAATTATGTGTTTGGCAATAGAGGATGATGGATATCTATTCTCTATTCTTATTGGGTCATTTGTTTGTGCAACCATTTATGTACACATTCAAATACCCTAATTTCGAGATCACGATTGCTCCTCCCTATGTATGTATGACCCCGCGAGGCTGGGTCGTGGATGCGCGCTGCTAAGTAGTCCCAAAACAGGACGAAACGGCCGTCCAGTGCTTTCAGATTTTCTATGGTGGTTTAGCTTCAATTGACTCATGATCTCAACAACCGAAATTACTACAATCTCCACAAAACCCCTTCTGATACATTTAAATTGTTAAACACAGTAGAATGTGATGTAATACTTTTCTTGTCTTTCAGGTTTTCGATGAAATATGAACCGTGTTGTTTTCTTAATAATGATCTTTGCTGTACAACATGTCTTATTGATGACTGATTTAAGCCATTGTTTCAATAAAAAGTCAATTTGAATCACCTTTAAATGGTAAGGTGATGTTAGATTTAAAACAACATTTAATCACTCTTTTTTAACTTTATTTCTGTGTCTAATGGTAAATAATAATAATACTTGTGTTTTAGATGAATAATTGCTGAACTGAATAAGTTACATCAGTGTATGCTTTGAAAGAAAACATAATAATGCCTAGTGATTGTTAGTTCATTGGAGTCTGAACAAAAATATGGACTGGGAATTATTCTAATATGCAATAAATCTACTGAATCTAAATAGATTGAATGATTAATATACATTTCTGACTTAAGAAACGACACACACACACACAGAGAGAGAGAGAGAGAAGAAAATATCAAAGTGTACATATATCATTATTAGAAACGATCTGAATGACCTTATCGTTCACAATATTAACTAAATTTTGATCAGTCTTTGATGGCATATGTGTATCCTATGGAAATTACTTTGATATAGCCAGTTTTCACAAGTTTTTTTTGTGTGGAATAGATGGATTTTTGGCTAACAATGGAATCCTGTTTGATACTCGTCAGCTGGATATATTTGACGAGACCATTCTGGATTTCACTGCTAGGTATATATCTAGTTATTCTACAACGTATACATGATATTGTACAAGACAAAATAACCAATAGAAATAGGTATGAATTACATCCTGGTGTAAAATTACATGAGTCAAAATAGTATAGAAATATAAAAGGTTACAATGACAACTGTTACTATGCCAATATGTCAATAGGTCATAATATTGAATTGGGTCAAACTCCAACATTAATTCAATAACTGTAAAATATTAAAATATCCTGAAAGCAATTTATTTTTTGCAAAGGTATTTTATCAACAGAACTGATTGTTATATGTTTGAAGTGATTATTTTAGCAAATATGACTCACTAGGTTATCATGAAAATGTTTTGATTGTATGATATACGATATTTGACTAAGCTACTGTGTTTCTGGGTGTAGAATTTCAATTATTGTTTAGTATACAAATTGGAATGACCCATTTCATTATTCGTTATCTTTTTTTTTAAGCAAACTGATAAACACAGATGATTTTCAAACTTACTTACGCCTGTTACTTCCAGTGGAGGAGGATAGGCCACCCAACAGTACTCGCCATTCAACCCTGTCCTGGGAAATCCTTTCCAGATCTTTCCAGTTGTTATTCATCCTTTTCATATCTGTTTCTATTTAAGACGTAATTTCGTCTTCCTCTTTTCCACTCCCATTCGGGATTCCAAGTTAGGGCTTGCCTCGTGACGCAGTTTGATGATTTCCGTAATGTATGTCCTATCCATTTCCATCGTCCTTTCCTAATTTCCTCTTCAGTTGGAAGTTGGTTTGTTCTCTCCTACACAAGGCTTTTGCTGGTGGTATCCGGCCAATGGATGTTGAGTATCTTGCGTAGACAGCTATTTCGAAATACTTGTACCTTCTTGATGATGGTTGTATTAGTTCTCCAAGTTTCAACTTCGTAAAAAAGAACTAACTGTCTTGACGTTCGTATTGAAGATTATCACTTTGATATTGGCTGACAGACGGTTGGTTTGATTTCCATATATTCTTCAATTGTAGGAATGCTATCCTTGTTTTGCCAACCCTCTCCTTTACGTCTGCATCTGATCCTCCTTGTTCATCGGTGATGCTTCCTAGGTATGTGAAGGATTCTAAATCTTCCAGAGTTTCGGTATCAAGTGTGATTGGATTGATGTTCTCCGTGTTGTATTTGAGGACCTTGATTTTCACCTCGTTTATGTTGAGGCCTACTGATCCAGAGACTAATGCTACACTAGTTGTCTTCACCTGCATTTGTTCGTGTGTATGCGATAGGAGGGCTAGGTCATGTGCGAAGTCCAAATTGCCTAATTAGTTCTAATCTGTCCATTGAATGCCGTGTTTTCCCTCAGATGTCGAGGTCTTCATAATCCAGTCGACCACCAGAAGAAAGAGGAAGGGGGAGATTAGACAACCTTGTCTGAATCCGGTCCTTACTTGGAATGCATCTGTCAGCTGCAAAGTAAAATATAAATTCTTTCATGTCAAATTCATATCTGCTTAAACAAGATATTAGCTATCCGGGCTCAGTATCTCAGAGGAAAACCCGTTAGTTTTAGGAATATAAGGTACTAGGTTCGGGTTTCACTTTGAACATCAACATTGAGATGCAAATACATCCAGTTTGGAAGTTCCGAATAGGATGAAATGCGCTTCTTAGGTTTCACTGTTAGCCACTACTCTATTTATATAAATGCAGTATTTGTAAGAGAATCACATGAAATCTATTGATTTTAATTTGAAATACTATCCAACTATATAATAGTTAGTGTTTCGAAATGAATTACATGACTGTATTTGATAAACAAGTTAATATGGAAAAGTAAAATGTATCAATGCATTTGCTAAATTGTAAAACAAAAAGTTCTAATGTCATGTTAACGAAAGTGTGAACGTGAAAATAAGGTATCCAAAGGTCAACTTAGTCATTAGAGTGTGTTATGGAAGTTTTCAAATTTGGAGTTTTATATTTCAGACTTATTTCGACCAAATAACCGTTGATAACTAAGAAGTCCTGAGTAGCTGTTCTTTTCTAGTATGAAACCCATCATTTCATATTCACAACTCCCCAACAAGAATCGTACTCATAACCTTCGGGTTTCGAAACGAGCACTTATCATACAGACCATTGAATCAGCAGCCGGGGTTCTCCAGTTCTTACTTCTTTCAGTTCACAAGACCGCTCGACCATCATTTAGTGCGATTGGAGATATTTATCTCATTTCTGAAGTGGTTGGGCTACACCAGTCACAGCGTCTCAATAGAACTCCGAGAATTATCTATCAAAGTTTTACCATTCTCGATATCCGATTCTGTAACAGTGCCCACGCACTCCCTGCGCGGTTAGTCCAACTAATTTGGAAGCGAGGTGGCAGAGCAGTTATGATACTTTACCGATAAACCGAACACTTTAAGGAGCTGCATATATATATATATATATATATATATATATATATATATACCTCGTGATGAACCGAACAAGTATGGGTGGACCATACTTTGTGAAGGTTCGAAAGACCATAAGTCAGAAGGTTGTCTCTGAATGAGAAGTACAAACGCGTCAACGTGTCGGTATTATCGAACTATTCATCAAGCTATAGTCATTGCTTACACATCTTTATCTTAATTAGTAACGTTATATATATGTACTTGTTCGGTTCATCACGAAGTGTTTCCCCAGTTAGCAGGTGATGATTGTTATTAACTTAAATAAGTAGTATATTGCCCTGGATGGCAACCCAGAGTTTTCTAGATTACGAGCTTGTTTCAAGGCTTGAAGATCCTGTGTTCTAGGGTGAGACAACTGTTCAGCGTTTCCTTGTCTAACTAACGTTAATCAGGGATTTGAAACAAACTGTAATTTCATACATTTTTTGACATATATATTTAATATTCATATTTTACAAAGGAATTTCTTGTGAAATTATCTTTTGATTAAAGCTTATCACGTTGATTAAAACTTATATATATTTCTCATAAGCAAAGCCATGGCTTAGATACTCACGTAGGTTTTAAGACAAATGAAGGTGTCAAAGATTAAATTCCATCTCAGTGACGTAAAAGTGGGGCGGTCTTAACTGAGCTTAATGATCCTTAGCACAATTATATGAAGGATCACAGGAATATCTTTCGGATATATAATACTCTTTGCTGTACATTAGCTATACATTTGGCAGTAAATCCTGACAAGAGTAAGTCTGGAGTATAAAAATTTGCTTTCTGTTAATTTGAGTACTTTAAAATTACTATGCAACATTGATCATATCTACATTTCCATGTATTTTTTGTCTATTCAAATCTACATACCAAAAAAAAAATGGTGAATAGTCAGTAAAACCACACCCAAATAAATTAAGATCAGATATTTGAAGAAAACAAAATCAATTTTAAAATAACCATTAACAAGTAAGAATATTAATGAACTGATTCATTCCATTTCATTCACACGAGTGTAAAATCGATATATCGAGAAAGTTGGAACATCTGGAACTATTTTTTTTGGATTATTAGTATCCATATTTTTATTGTAACTACTCCTGTAGCATGTCTAGGGTTACTGCTGGTCCTGTGACAAGGTAAAGAAGAAGGGTTGGACATAGGGGGGCAACCCTATCCCATAGAAAATAACCTTTCTGAGAAACGCTAACCAGAAAAAATAATTTAAGCAATTTAAACTCCGTCCCGGGATTTGAAAGATCTTCATTTAGAAAAATTATGACACATTGTGAAAGCCGAGATTATTTAGAAGTTACAAGGCTGGTGCTACTTCTAATAACCATGACAACAATTAATATAGGTACATGGAATGTTTGGACGATATGGAAGACTGGGGGACCAATCAAATATCTGCGGAAATGAGCAGTTACAAGTAGGTGGTGCTCGGAATGAGTAAAGCCCATTGGACCCAAGCTGGACAGCAAAAGTTAGATTCGGGGGGATGGTGCTGTCACGAAGAAGAAAGTGCTCCGCACACCCAGAGAGTTCCTCTAATGCTGTCCAAAGAGTCAGAAAAAAGTATTTATAGGATGAGAATCTCATGGATCAAGGACCATTAAAGCATACCTCAAAACAAAGAAGCAGGGGACGATAAAGATCATTTTCACAAGGATGTGCAACCGATCATAGTGAAGTGCTCGGGATAGGACCTGACACTCTTTTAGGAGATTTAAACACCGAAGTCGAAATTGACAACATCAGATATGAAGATATCATGGGACGGTATGGACTAGGTGAAAGGAATGAAAATGGTGAGATGTTTACTAATTTATGTGGATTTAACAAAATGAATAAAGGTGATACTGTATTCCCCCTACACAAGCACATATAATAAACGATACGGGTTTCACCGGAACATACTACAGAGAACCATATAGAACATATTTGTATCACTAAAAATTCAGAAAGTCAATGGAGGGCGTGAGAATCAGGAGAGCAGCTGGTATAGCTTTTGATCGCCACCTGGTTGCTTCCAAGATGAAAGTGAAGCTAAAGAAAAACTAGACCGCTGGAGAAACAGCAGTACAAACGTTGAATACAGCATTTATTTGAGATACTAACAAACTCAACAAATTAAAGATATCTCTCAAAAACAGGTTCCAAGCATTACAAGATCTATTGAAAGAAGAATTTTCTATAGAAGACAATTAGAAAGAGATCAAAGAAGCACTAACTTCAACATGTCAGGAGGTTCTGAATCGCAACAAACATCGTCGTAAGGAACAGATTGCTATCGAAACGCTGGACAGGATTCAGGAAGAAAACAGCAATTCACAACAGCTGAACAAGGACAGAGAAAGTCAAGGCACAAACTGAATACACTGAAGCAAACAAGAAAATTAAGAGAAGCATTAGAACTGACAAGCAGAAATATGTGGAAGAGCTAGCAACGCCATTGGAAATGGCTGCAAGATTAGTAAATATGGAACAACTGTATGACACGACGAAGAAACAGTTAAGGAAATATAGTAAACCAGAGAGACAGGTCAAGGACAAAGAAGGAAAGACAATCACTGGAATTCAAGGAAGGAGGAACAAATGGTTGGAACACTGGGAGGAGCTATTGAATAGACCAGCTCCATTGAATACACTGAACATCGAAGCAGCACACACAGACCTTCCAATAGATATCACTCCACCAACGATTGAAGAAATCAGGATGGCTGATAATTAGACAAATTAAGAGTGAGAAAACAGTAGGATCTGACAATATACCAGCTGAAACTTTGAAGTCACATATATAAGCAAATACAAACATGCTCCACATGCTATTCAGAAAAATTTAAGAAGAAGAACGAGTGCCACTGACAGACGAGAAAGAAGATCACCTCATCAAGATACCGAAGAAAGAATATCTGAGCAAATGTGAGAACCACAGGAGAATCACATTACTATGGATACCAGTAAACGTTTTCGACAGGGTGGTATTTAAGCGGATGAGAGACTCAGTAGACATCCAACTTTGAGATAAACAGGCTGGATTCCGTAAGGATAGATCGTGAACAGGCCAAATCGCCACACTACGGATCATCTTTGAACAATTAATTGAATACAACTCGTCACCATGCATCAACTTACTTGACTATGAGAAGGCATTCGAAAGTATGGATAGGAGAACCTTATAGAACCTTCTTTAACATTGTGGTGTAATTGAGAATACTGTCACTATCATACAGAATTCTTGCTACACAATACACTGCAAAGTCGTACATCAATAACAGCTCACTGATGCGTTCCAGACGAAGACCGATGTCAAATAACTCTGATTACTCTCCCCTTCATCTTTCTTCTAGTGGTCAACTAGATTATGAAGACCTCGACATCTAAGGGAAAGCACAGAATACAATGCATAGCTTGAATGCAGAGAAACCATTCGGATTCTCCAAATGATCTCACTCTTCTATCACACAAACAACGACAAATGTAGGTGAACACACCGAATGTAGAAACACACAGCAGCACTAGCCTCAACATACACAAGAGAAAATGCAAGATCCTAATATATAACACTGTCAGCACCATTCAAACAAATCATACTTGATGGAAAAACTGTGGAATAGGTGGACACTTTCACGAATGTGGGAAACATTGTTGATAAACGAAGAGAATCTGATGCAGATGTGAAAACACGGATCGACAAAAGGAGGGATGTATTCCTACAATTGGAGAAGATCTGTAACTCAAAACAATTGTCTGCCTGTCAGTTTGTCAGTCAATCAACAACCTGGTCACAGTTTCAATATAAATTTGAGATGGTGATATTGTATGGAGTGGGAACTTTCAGAACTACTACCACCGTCATCATTAGAAATGTATAGATATATATTAATGGTTGTTTATGTGAGACACTCGTTATTTGTATTTTGGATTCAATCAGCAGCGATATGGTGTGTTAGAGAACAAATTAGTTTGCAAGTGAAGAGGAGAATAGGGGAAGACGATGTAGGTGAATGGGTTACAACACACATTATGGATGTCATCAAACTGTATCACGATGCAGGCGTCACCTTGGGATCCTGAGGGGAAACGGAAAAGTGGAAGCTCAAATAACACACTGCATCGAGAATCGGAAATGGATATCCTAACAGTGAATAGCAACCGGAAACCACTGGAAAGGATTGCTCAAGATAGAGTTCGATGGAGAATCCTAGTGGACGACCTACGCTTCTCTACAAGGGTTAACAGACGTAAGTAAGTAAATGAGTCTGTCATGGTCTTAGAGTTTAATGACGGGTATTTCAATCGTGCATTTAAGCGTAAGTTCCCTTCAGACTGTATAAATGCACCGTCAAAAAGAGCAAACGGACATCAAACCTAATTCTTTAGGTTCTTATAAACTGTCTCTGATCAACTTACACCATACAAAACGTACTGCTATTTTGAGTCAACCAGACCAGTGACTACAAACTAGAACTTTGTAAAGAAAATAGAGGTATTTGTTTTAATTGTATGATCAACTAATTTAATAATATCATAATCAAGTGTACCTTTACCAAGATATGCTTTAGACTAGATATTTTACCTAGTAACACGTTTTACCCATTTTTTAGACAATACAGAATTAGTTCATTTACAACAAGATTTTGGAGCATTCTAATCTAGTCGTTCATAATTTTTCCTTCATTCAGCTTTCTATGCTTTTTCACTCCTAACAACAGTTTCATTAAAATGTATTTATTGTCTCTATTGTTAACTTAGTTCATTTTTTGTTAGTCTCTTTTAGATCTACATCTTGAAGTGGTTCGTTTGACACACATCAATAAAGAATATTTGGAACTGATAAGTTAAGTAATCCTCTGGTGAACGAGGTCCGTTTCATTTTATTTCACAATCAGGATTTAATGGTTAACTTTAACATGTCTTGCTGGTTTGAATCCCGCAATCGATACTACATCATACCTTCCTGATAAATCTAGTCAACAAGAAAGCAAGAACCACATTTTCCTATAGTTTGTTTACAGTTGTCTAACAAAGTGGTGACCTAAATTTGTGTCGCAGAGTTTGACTACTTATGAGTAGTTAAACAACATTCTACGAAACATTACATGTCAAAGTTAATTTTGAAATGATCACACAGACTGAACTTACTTATCAAAGATAATTTTGATTTGATTTATAACCCTGAAGAAGTTCAGAAAAGTTTACTGAACGAAACGTTGGAATTATTTAAATTTCAATCTCTGAGATTATTTCAAATATAATTTTCACGTATGATGACTTTTCTATACTTAGCGCTTAGTTTTTGTCAAACTATTCGTTCTAATATTGACGAATATTCGTATACACAATAAAATGTTGTTAGTAAATTCATTCAGAAATTAGTAGGATAGGGTATCGAACTAATAATCAGCATAAAATTATTGTGGTGTGTGTTACTTATGTCAACATAAGTAGTTTATAGAATAGAGTGTATGACAGCTAAAGGTTGAGAAAATCGAACAGAAAAGAACGGGAACAAAAAGTAATTAGTATGGAAATGCAGAAGCAATGAAGTCTGAAATAATTAATGAAGAATTAGAGTATGGTTTTTCCATTTTATCAAGTAACTCTGTAATATTGTACCAAATATAATCGGTTGTCCTCACTTGTGTTCTCATTCACTACAGTATAACTATCTACAGAAATGAATTCACCCTTTGTCGGGGACGTTAGATCCCCAGAACTCACTTGGAAAACGACCTAATTTTGTAATTTTATTTTGAAAATTTGAATTTCTTTGTTTTCGCACCAAAAGCGCTCTTTTTACCTTGAGGTCGTATTTCCCACTGGAGAGAATCTTAAACGCTATTGTGTCTTTTAGTATGCTATTTTGTAGCGCTTCCCAAGGACGGTTTGTCCTGTATATATACGTTTTGATTTGTGTCTGTTGTTATCACTCGTGCTTCCGGCTTTTTGCGGAATATAATTCCTCGTTCGAACTTCGACTTCTCCTCTTTCTAGTTAGCGGGGCTGGGACGCATCAGAATAGCTAGTCTATTAGCCTTTGGTCACAAGTGTTTGTTCCGTTCGCAGACTAAGTGGACTCGTAATCTCTTCAAACATAACACCCTTATCCTCCATAAAATTGACTACAAGACAATAAATTTAAAATAAGACATTGTATGAAAACTTTTTTTCATGAATTCTCTGACATCTTACCGTAAAAGTACAGATTGAGTAGGCTACAAAATGGTAGATACCCTGAATCATTTATTAACTGGTAAGGTATCCAATCTTATTCCAAGAGTACAAATGAATATATATATACGGATGATAGGCTTTAATGTTGTTATAATTCGAATAGATTTTGATAACTCTTTTTTTCCCCTGCAGTACAGTTTATAACGTCACAAGAATCGAGAAGAATTATTTACCTTATAGATTTGAATGTATGTATAATTGGTGCCCAAATAGTTAGTTAAATCTACTATATATCGTTTAAATCTTTAGATGGTAGAAAAGATTTTTAGCTCAGGTGAATAACTGAGGTGAAGTCTTTTTTTCTGAGCTGAATGGTTTGGTTTTAAAGCTTTCATTGTTCTTCTGAACAACATTATCAGTACAAACTTAAGCTCAAAATACCTAATTCCACCTAAATTGTTTAAAACTGTTATGGTCTATATTAGAGATAGTAGAGATTAAATTCGAACTTAATATATTATTATTTATTCATCATATTTATTTAAACAAGAAGGCACCAAATAGTTATGCGCCACACTTCGTCATTCGATTTGTGTGATGGCTGGAATACAGCCTGGGTGCCCAAACCGAAGCAGGCAGTCTTCTTAGAGGGACACACTCGAAACTTTCGACCTAAAGGTCTGGTCCACAAGACAGTGGAGCAACGTTAGGAGATACAGTCCCATGGTAGGTGGTGACGAACAATAGTTTCATACTCCGTTTGTTCCTTCAGGATACTGGAGCCCATGTGCACCGTTGGTTTGGAATCAGGGCTTTTCAATTCCCCTAGGTGGACTCTCCGTATCCACCAACCTGATTAAAGCGCCTGGTATTCTCTTTTTGTCCTCTCAATTTCGTAAACAACAGTAATGCCACAAGAAGGCAGTGGTTGTATACACGTGGCCATGTGAGAGCATTTCAAGAGAAAGAGGGCTGTCTCTCCACATTCTCGACCGTACCAGGGCATTTGGGGGCGATTTAACACATACCTAATATATATCGAGAGAGATGTTTTTTAATAAAACAGTCATAATCAATGAAACATGGGATAATAAAACAAGAAACTGATCTTTCTAAAAGAATATTCACAGTCTAGAGGCAAGGAAATTATAAGAACAGGTAATGCTAAATAAACTGTGTGTTGTAGCACTCTAGATTACAAATAATTTCCAAAACCCTGTAGGAAAAATATGACTATTATTAACTGTACCAGGACAATGAAAGTATACATTGTTGATAGTTTTAACGTGAAAGTAATCATTCAGAGTATTATGTACATGTGTTATTAAATTTTAGATCAAGGTGGTTACTTACTTACTTACCCGTCCTAGGCCTTCTTTTCTAGTTCCATCCAATCTTGTTCATTTTTCTCATGTCTATCTTCATTTCCCGGCGTAATGTGTTCTTTGGTCTTTCTCTTTTCCTTTGGCATTCAGGATTCCATGTGAGGGCTTGTCTTTTGACACAGTTGGGCGCTTTCCTCAATGTGCGTCCTATCCACTTCCAGCGTTTCTTCCTGATTTATTCCTCCGCTGGGATATGGTTTGTTCTCTCCCACAGTAGGTTATTGCTAATAGTGTCCGGCCAACGGATCCGAAGTATTTTGCTTAGGCAACTGTTAATAAAAGATCAAAGTGGTATCTATACCTAAAATACTCATTTAAAAATCAATAATTTTTGTCAAAAGGTTTCTATTCACATCTAATAACAGAGTGATACGATTACTGAACTCCATTCAATAACTCCAGAATGTTTTCTAGACCATCGGAATGAAGAAAATCTTTTGATTCCTCCCTACAAATGTAGAATTTTCAAATTTGTGAACTGAAACACAAAGTGTATTTTCAATACAAAACAATGTCATATTACATTCATCTTGATCCCTTGATGAACTTTAGTAAAGCAAGATGAACAACATTTGCAGAAGAACATGAATTCACTATACTTCAACGCTTCTCATCAGCTGTAAACGGTGTAAATTTATGATATAAATATTTTTATAAGAAAATATTATTACATACTATAATCGGTGAAGTTTGGTTTGAAACAACATAAGGGAACAAGAGGGAACAACAGATTTAAAATAATAGATGAGATTGAGTAGGATTTATAATGTTGGAGATGAAATCACACAAAAAAGGAAGAGATGGATAAAGTTGTAAGTGATAATCAATTAAAAACAAATAAGTTATAATCAAGTCATCTATTTATACTACTTATATAATATTAGTAGCTCACTATATTTTATGGAAAAACAGATTGGGTCTTGGAATCAAACACTTGAATAATTTATATACTAAGATGAGAATAAGAGTATGAAGCGAAATTCTATAGCGACATTTCCCATATATACACTTGAGATTAGATTTATTTAATTGCATTATTGATACTCAAAACCTTTATGAATGAACGTTAAGATTGATAGGTTTTATAACTAGGAATACTGAAGGGAAGCGGAAAAGAGGAATGCCGAAGAACTCATTACGTTGGGAAATGGAAGCAGATATGAAAAGGATGAATAGCAACTGGAATTGATTGCCGAGGACAGTTTTGAACAGAGAGTTCTGTTGGGCGGCCTATGCTTTCCCACGAGGAGTAACAGGCGTAAGTAAGTAAGTAAAGAATAATTCCTAAGTGTTTTTTTAATTTATTTACATCTATTATAAAGATCTATCACTCCAAATTTTCATTTTCATCCAAGACTTACAGAAAGGGACAGAGAAAATACCACATTTTTTATTATACTTATTTTTTAACCCAAAATTTATCGAAGTGACACTGTAATGCTGCTTGAGATTATGTGATACCCCATGGATGGTATGAAGCATATTACTGAACCAAAAATGGATTTACGAATGAAAATAAGTTACAGCTTGATATACTTGAAAACGGATGAATTTCCTTGTTTTTTTCCCTTATTTCATCGGTAAAATATTAAGTACAGTTGTCTTAATTCAAATTAATTAAAGATCATACTTACTCACTTACACCTGTTACTCTTCGTAGACGAGCATAGGCCGCCCACTAGCACTCTCCATTCAACCATCTCTTAGGCAATACTTTCCATCTCTTTCCAGTTGTTATTCATCCTTTTCATATCTGCTTCTACTTCCCGACATAAAATTAAGGATCATACTGACTCAATATTACAGTCATTGATTTTATTCTTTTGTGTGTAAAATTATGATATTCACAGTTTCGAAAATGACCTAAACACACAACAGTGATATAGTAGATAACTTCTATTATTAATACTATTATAATTATGAACAAAAGATTTTTTATGGGGACTCTCAATGGTTTGATCAGATTTAGAGTTCCAATGAATAATGATAAGTCGATTGATAAGACCATTGGTATTAATTATTTAGAGTATTTGTTAAGTATATTTAACCCTTAAAAACTAACACTTATTAATAGGTAGGAAGAAGGCTATGTATAACTGTATTAACGTATGATATCAGTTCATAAAGTTGTTTACTAGTAGGGTAAAGTAGAGTCGATAAGAGATATGTTTGTTGAAGCGAAACATTAGGTGATATTTAAGGATATTTACTAATTCATAACTGTTATATCCTTATGTTTATACAATTATTGTGAAATACGATTGCCAATTTAGATATGCTAACTTAAACGACCAAACTAATGACTTATGCATTGTACAAGAAGGCTAGTGTTCCAAGTGATCCTTTTCCTGCCTAGCACTCCACGTTGACATTCTAGAAAGCTCCATCATGCTCTGATTGGCTAGGACTCTTCGGCTCCTTTAGGGCCTCTAGAGGCTCCGTTGCAGTTCTCGGAAAGCCGACTCAACATTAAGTCCAGGACGCCAATCTCAGCCTCCGTGATATGAATCATATATTTCAAATATACAGGGTTTATATACAAGCAAAATCAGACCACATCACACTATAAAACAGAAAGTAACAGATGTACACGATCAAGCCAAAAGTGATTGTGATTATGAGAAACTGTGACTAATAGATTGAGAACTTTAGTAAATCATATAACGATAACCAATAGATCAAATGAAAACTTATAATGAGAGTAATATGAATATACATACAGTATAGTTAATTAACAATCATACAATAAAAAATATTCTTATTA